TCTTGAACAATTCTAAAATAATCATTTTATGTCTTTGAGACCCCACATAACCTTTTATTATACTTCACCGAAAGTCTGATTGTTGTGAATAGCTTATCAAAGCTATAATACAAAGGAAATATCGTGGTCAAATAGCACCATCTCACCACTTTTAACTTGACTCATATTTTTATAATGAGGAACATACCAAAAGACGAATATGATTCACAAATGATGGGATGACAACCCCAACTGGTGAGATAACACTTGAACTGTATGTTCAAGCAGAAAACAATTCATAAAAAAAGAGCAAATTTAATTACACAAATTCTACAGACCCAACCCCAACTGCGATTATCAAAATCAAGTGTATACTAATCCACCATCATTGCTTGTACATATTCTCGGTGCATTCTGGTGAGATTACAATGCATGCAAACCACCAAGTCGGATGTTCTCACACGCTCCAGACAATGGTCACAATATATGCAACTTAAAGAGAAATCGTTCGCTGAGATATCCTCACAATACGACCAACTCCATGAGAAATTTTATTCAAATTCTTCTTTCACAAATACATTAGTGAATTGTACACAATCTTCTTTCAATACGACTAACGTTGCAACAATTGTTGTACCTCCAACGTTAACATACCCTTGAAGTGATAAAACACAATGAGTTACAAACTAAAAAAATAAATGGCGTAATAGGTTTATGAAAACGAAAAATACTATGGTCAACCAAACAAGGAAAGAGATGAACATTATGTGATCAAGGCATATGGTTGACATACGAGGAGTCATTGTGAACGAAAATTATGCCTGAGTTGTACAAAAAAATCAAAATTGTTAGCAACTATTATGTGATGTCAAAATTTAAACATATGATGTAAAATAAATGTAAATAATTGTATTGTTTACATGTAGAAAGCAATTGTTTACGTTGAAAAATGTTGGTGAGTAAGAAGAAGATGAACAAAAAATTAAATGAGCAAGAAGATGATGAACAAAAAAAAATGTGTTTTTTGGTGGAGTTCTCCATGACTTTAAATAGACTATGCTAATGGGGTTGAAATCATGGTATTGTAACTTCTACCATGATGTGTTAGTGGGTGGTTATACAAAGAAGGAAAATCCCAAAAATAAAAAATAAAGAAAATAGAAACACAGTAAGAATATATAGAGAATTAGTGTATGTAATTTATTATAACTATTGTATAAATTACGCATTTTAATCTGTCCATTAATCAATGAGTAAATTATCATGAATATACAAATGGGAAAATGAGGGATAACACTCTCATTACATAAATTAATAAAGTGCGGGTCCAATTTATAATTGACCATTTGTGAACAAGTCTATATAATATTTCATGAATTGTGTGACCCCTCGTCTTATGTTAATGCCCATTCTATCCTTTATTTTCATATTTTTGTTTTCATTTTTTTCTCTCCATATTTCTCTCTCTTCCCTTTTTTTCTCTCTTTTCCGTTCTTTTTTCCTTCTCTCTCTTCCCCTTTTTACTCCACCTTCTATGCAGCTCTCTCCTCTATCCATCTCTTCAGCCTTCCCTCTCTTCTCTATGTTTTATTTCTTTTTCTCTTTCGTTCTATTTCTTCATTCTCCGTCTTTCTCTCTTTCTTCTTCATCTTTTCTCTTTGTGAGAACCAGTCTTTTTTTCTACTGTATGGATACTATGTGTCATTTTTTTCCCTGAGATGAGGTTTTTGTTGTGGGGATTCCAATTAGAAATACTATAACCTCATTCTTAAACTAAAAAAGACATGGTTAAGTAACGAAAAATTATAGTTGACTATCATTGTTTCATAGTTAACATCGAAAAATTTATAGTTGACTGTCATTGTTTTACAGTTAACATCAAAAAATTTATAGTTGATTATCCACTTTTCATAGTTGACTATGGGAACAATATAGTTGACTATCAAATTTTCACAGTAAAAATTGAATCGCCGACTCGAATCACTGTTCCTCCGCCACCGACTACTACACAAGCCCAGTGAACGCGTTCTCTGCATATCCTTTCACGCCACCGCCGCCAGCATCATCTGGTCTTCACGGTAACGCTTGAACGCTTCCGCCAACATCTGTCATTCTGGCATGCGACTCCATGGAAGGATTATAGAAAGAATGCCATTATTTTGCAGGCACACGGCGAAGAGAGGAGGTGGTGGCAGCCATATCTGGATTTCGTAGCAACCTACCTTTGTTCGATTTGTTTGATTTCACCATATTTTCGTTTTTGGTTCTCCGTGATTCGCACGAATGTGAACTTTTTTCGAACAAATGTAGTAAGCTAGGGTTCCAACGAAACTCGTAGATAATGGGTAGATTTTCTAGCGAATTTTTTCGAAGCAATTCTCCTGAATCCCCGAGGTTTAGGAAGAGGTTTTATTTCCGTATGAATATCCGTTGATTTGGTAAAATGGTGGGGGGTATTTTCAAACACAAAATGTGAGGGTAGTTTGGGTAGGATAGAAATTGAGGGGCTTTGACTTATTAAAAATAATGAGAGGTGGTTACGTCTAATATTTTTCTTAATTAGGGGATTTTGTCTCATAAACCCTATACAAAATGCGTAATTTGCAAGAATATAGGTTCCAATAATTGGAGTGAAATTATACCACTATCGAAAATAATAGGAAAATATTACCATTTAAATATTAGAAATTTAAATTTACAATATTGCCCCTAGGTTTAGATCTAGGTTTTAGTTCAAAATATCTTTCTTTTATGGGGTGGCTAGAACTAATACCAAAAATTTCTCACTTCAATACCACCTAGTTTAATACCATATTTTAGAGAAATTTTTAACATTTTTTCTTAGATTAATATCACAAATATTTTTTTTACTAGCAAAGTACTAAAATACCCCTTATCAAACAAAATACAATTTATACAAAAAAATATTTGTTTTCCTTATTTCAATACCAAAAATTAAAAACTCTTTTCTTCTCTTCCAAACCCAAACTCAAACCCAAACCCTCTCTTCTTCTCCCCAAACCCAAACCCAACCCTCTCTTCTTCATCTTCTTACAAACCCTCCAAAAAATCTCAAAATTCAAAAAAATCAAAATCTCACAAAACTTATAAAATGGAGTCACAAGACAATGAAATGGTGGTTTACATGGAAGGAGAACCCATTGAAGTATGTATTCATGTTTTTTTTAGCTTCAAAGTCGGTTTTTAGATTTTTTTTTTAAATTCGCCTACAGTTTTCGACACATACAGGTCGAATTTTTGGTCAATTTTCGAAACCAACTTGTCGAAAATTGTATTTAAAAAAAAAAACCAAATTCGACAGATACAAGTCGAAAATTCTCAAAATTTCGACATGTATGTGTCGAAAAATCACTGCATAAGATTTTTTTTTTCTAATACAATTTTCGACAAGTTGGTGGCGAAAATTGATCAAAAATTCGACCTGTGTGTCGAAAATCTATGGCGCGTTTAAAAAAAATCTTCAAATCGACTTTTAAGCTAAAAAATTAGACATGTATACATACCTTAATGGTTTTCTTGCTCGTAAACTACCATTTTATTGTCATTTGACTCCATTTTGCAAGTTGTGTAAGATTTTGATTTCTTTAGTTTTGAGATTTTTTAGGAGGGTTTGTTGATAGGAAGAAGAAGAAAAAGAAGAAGGTGAGGGATTTGTGAAGAGGGAGATGAATTTGAGAGGGATTTGTGTTCTGGTATTGAAGAAATAAAAATGAGATTTGTAATGTATATTTGCTTTTGATTTTCATTAAAAGTATTTATGATATTAACTATTTATTCTCTAATTATTTTTTTGGTGGTATTAAAATAAATTTTTTTTGGTATTAGTTCTAGCCATCCCCTTCTATTATCTATAAGATAAATGCATAAAAAATATTCAAGGAACATAACCTATAGAGAAACACTCTGTCGCACATATGTATTTCATCTTGTGTCAACTTGTTTAAATTTGGGAAAAACCACAGACTGTGTACCTTAACTTCATATTAACTTGTTTCATTTCCTTTGTTGTAAAAACAATCATTTCACACTAATAAAAACACTCATAATCAAACACAAATTCATGTAACTGGACTGGTATTGGTATATAAATAAACATTTTTGTTAAAAAAAATAAATAAATAGACAAGATAAAAACTGTAGCAGGTCTGAGGAAAGTGTCCAAGGGGAGATAGAGGTTAGCAACTTTATAGTGTGTATTTAAAGAAGAAAAACTCCATTCCAAGGCAATTAACAAACAACAATTGCTTTATCAATCTCTCCAAAATTTAACCATATACATACATGATCTAGCAGACGTCCCCAGATTTACAGTAACCATTCCTTTTAGAGAAATTAAAAATAGGTAATACATCAGAAAATTATTAGATTATTCAATTAAATACAAAAAAAAAACAAATTCTCTCACATTCATTGACTAAATGTCGTTTAAAGGGATATAGCTGTGAAACAAAAGGAAAACAGGATTTTTGGGAAGACTGCGATGAAGCACCCAACAATCTCTCACATTCATAATATGACATAGCCGCCAGATTTTCATTTTTCTGGAAAGAAAAATAGCTGTCGCAAAATATTGGTTCGAAGAGCAACATATAGCTTAGGATTTTTCGTCAAAATAACACAAATATGAAACATACGGGTTTCATAAATTACCAGTCTTTTTCTACTGTTTTTTTTCTATATGAAGCCTTCCCATCCAACCAACAAATCAGTTCAGCAATATCAAGAAAAACGAGAAAAAAAAAATTAAAATCAACATGAAATGATGCACCAAATAGACATACATGAGATAACTTGACAAAATGAAGAACGAAATTTACATTTAGAACTCGTAAATAAAACATTAACAACCAGTGCATAAATCTCCGAATTTTATTCTGCGGTCTTTTTATGCGGCTGATTTAAAAAGGATAATATAGAGATATTTTCGGATTTTATGAAATCAGGCGGAAGTCCGCCCGATTTAAGAAATGTACGCAAAATCCCCAAAACCACCCGCACCAAAAGAAATCGATATTTGAATTGAACAAAAAATAATGATCCAAAAATTAATATTAAAGTAATGTAAGAAATTCAACCTTAAAATAGGCGGGAAAAGTTGCCATACGGTTTCAAAGAAGCAACCTTTATTTTACTAATAAGATATCTTGCTGATCAAATACAAATGTCTGAATCATGATACCTGCGGTGAAATAATGTGGAATTTCGCTTAGCTGGCAAAATAAATGAGAGTGGATCTTTCACATTAGAGAAGGGATACAATTTCTCAATTAGCAGTTAGTTAGGTCACAGTTGTTTCATCCGGTTCTAACCTTTTAAACTCATCATGTATATATGCCCATAATGCTTCGTAGCTTGATAGTTTAACAAGTGAAATAACTGCATTGCTACACATACCTGCAAAAATACACAGACTTCTATTAAAGGATCTCTAACATGTCTTGACCCAATGGCATCAGATTTATAAATCTACAGACAAGAAAATCAAAGAGATACCCACAGTGCATATAAATTCATAAATGGAGAAACAAAGCCCTTATCGATCTCAACTATTCAATACATATATCATGATTCAAAAAAAAGAAGCGGCATGAATGTTTGGGTTACTCAATTCAAGCCAATCAAGAACAAGAGAATGATAACAAATTAGTACACGAGTTTTGAACACATTTAGTTGCTCCACTTAAAACGTTGCCATCTCTTTTCATCAATGGTGATTGCTATTCAATATGCAATATCCATAAATATGAATCAAATAAGCAAACGACCACGCATTCTAATATCAATATCACACGCACGAAAAAACCATGGACGAAAAGAAAATTAAGTAGAGATACCTTGTGACGCCTCCCCGAGTGCTAACATTATCCAAATGCTCCGTACGAAGCTTCCAACTTTACAAATAGCGTAGCAAGTGAAGAAAACATTGTGACACACCTCAATCATCGCACAATTCTTCCACTTCATCTCCTTCACTATTCGAGTTATCAGCACCACGAACTCTGTCCAAACCCCGACGGCCAAAAAGAACAAGATCAAGAAGCTTCCTCCTAACCTCATAAATAGGGTTGGGCTCAATCAAGCACCCTCTCTCATACGCCTCCCTCAGAAACACAGTGTGCATCTTTCCTTTAGTCGACAAATAGAACATTCCTGGATGATCCAGAAACAAATCCCTCACATTCAAATCAATTCCGAACCACTGCCTAAAATGGCTAATCTTTTCGACCTCCACCATTTTCTCCACCGTCAAGCTCAAGAACTCGTGCACTATCCCCACCGCCCTTTTCTCCATTTTCATCATCTGGTTTTTGCTCCTCCGATTTTTGTCCACAGTCTTTATCTCTTCGTAGGGTCCAACGTAAGGCAATCTCTGCCACTCCTTGACTTTCGCCTTGAAATTCTTCGACAACCGCATCCCAGGTGGAAACCCGTGTTTGAAGCTGTACTGTAGCTCGGTCCTATCAACAGTGCATTCTCCGTTACAGCATTCGAGGACCCTCCAATTCTCAACAACGGGAACCAGACAATCTTTAAACGCTTCGGTATCGCCGAGCAATAAGTAATGAGTGTTGGGCTCGTTTCCATCCCGGAGAGAGAAAATGTCGGGGTTCCTCGAAATAACGGAGTCCTCGAAGTTATCGGGCAGACCCAATTCTCTCCACACCTTGAAAATGGCTCGAAGGGGCAGCTTTCTGGTGAGGGACATCGATAGGAGCTTGACCAATCGGGTTACTGCGAGAGGCGTGGATTTGTTTAAGGCGTCGGATTCTTGGAGAACGATTTGGCGAGCGGCGGGTGTGAGTGTGCAGTAGGGTTGGAGGTTAACGGGGTGGGTGAAAATGTGGAAGATGTGAGGGTAGGTGCGGAGGAAGGCGGAGGGGCCGCGGTTGAGGTGGAGTTTCTGAGAGAGGCGGTGGAGGAAGTCGATGGAGATGGAAGGTGGAGTAGATTGGGAGGCGAGGATTAGATCTTGTATGGAGATAACTTTGAGGAGGTTCTTGTATTTCTCCATTAGCTTTTCGAATGTGGCGTCTCGTGCTCTGGAGGCGACATATGCGGCTGAGGAGGTTTTTGTGCGGTGGAGAAAGGGGGCGGCGGCGGGGCTGAGTTTCTTCAAGATTCGGATCGCCATCAGTAAAGTTGGGGGTGATTAAGAAACACTATGAGAACATCTGAATCACATAGAATCAAGTGAATCATCTTTACACAAATTTATCCCCATGAATGAAAATTTGGTCGCCCAAATAATAGCCTTTCTATTTCTGAAAATTATTTTAATAAAAAAGTTATCCCTACACACAACCATATATCGCCTGAATCATCATCTTCAATCAGCAATTTAACACAGCGAAGAAGAATTAATTGGAATCGGAGTGGTTGAGCTCGTCAGATATGGTGGCGAAGGAAAAGTCCAGTAAGCTATTAGATTATACAGCTGATACCGCCGGGGTTGTAAAAGCCCTTGCTGCAGTGGAAGAGATTGAATATGCGATTCACAGATACACAAACAAGAGTTGGGTTTTTATTTTATTTGATTCAGGTTGTGCTGTGAATAATATACATTTGTTTGCTGTTTTTCCCTTCTTGTGTGGGAGGGAGAAACGATTAGATTAGGGGTGATATGCAATGCCCCTCGTTTAGAAAATATTTTTAATTAAATTCAATTCCCTTTAAAGACTTTTTCCATATCCTAAATCTCAGTCTAAATTAGTGAGACTCTCTTACTACACATGATAAGGCTAAAGTGCCTCTATATATTAAGTTTTTAACGTGATACAATTTTATTTGTCACTCTTGTACATCTCTTTTTTTCATTCTCTCGCCCTCTCTCTTTCACAGTTTCTTTCTTTCTTTCTTTTTTTCTTCAGATCTGTAAACCGCCGGCGCCGAATTCAACAATACCCTTCAAACGCCGCCGGCCGAAACCCGTTGCAGGAGGCCCTCCTCCGCTGATGTTGGAGATCGTCTCCCCCCTCGTCCAACACCACCACATCAACGTCTGGTACAGTTGGCGGCGATGCCTCCCCCACCTCGTCGCGGTCCTTCGTCGGATTCGTAATTTCTATTTAGAGATTTCCCTTCTCTCACCGCCGAATACCAATGTATATGTTTCAATTTTTTTTTGGAGTGCGACAATTGAATTACGAGATTATATTTCTGAAATTTCTCCTGTGTTCCGTGTAGAAAACAACGAAATATAAGCTTATGTTCATCAATTGCTCGATTCTTTGCTTAATTAGGTGATTAATAGTGTGCATTTCTCACACTTAACTACACACAATTCAAATTTACAAGTATATTAAAAAGAGTTTATTGCATTTAATACTCTAGTATTATAATTAAGGATGTGCTAAATCATGCATAAAAAAATTCAAGTTCTGCATATAAATTAAAACAATTCTCTCCCTACCTATATTGTCTCTCACTTCTCTCTAACTTCTCTCTAGGCATTTCTTATATTTTCAATCGATGAACCACTTCAACGAGAAGTAAGTTGTGAATTATGTTACCAAAATCACATCAACTTCAGGGGGCATAATTAGTGTGTACGCGCACCAGAGTACAAAGAGGACTCAAAGTACGAGTCGAACAGTGGGCGCCCAACGTGGGATCGAGTACAGCGAGCGCGCCCAAAGTGGGCGCCATCTATACTAAGGCCGCTCCCAATTAGTGTTGATGTTTTGCAAACAAACGACATGTAGTGTTGATTTTCTGGCAAAAAAATCTAAAACTAGATATTGATTTTATGTCCCAAAAACAACAACAAAATGTTGATTTTTTGCAAAAAAAATCAACTTCTATGAAAGTCAATTTTTGAGTTGAATTTTGACAATTGTCAATTGAAAAAAAATAACCTGTATAACTCAAAGTTTGACTATGAAGATTGTTTTTTAAAACTCCAAAAATCAATTACCTAGCTATAAAAAGACATTGATACATATTTTTTTTCCTTTTTCAATATAATTTTTAATATTCATATTTTTTTACTCCATAATTTCTTCCTTCATAAGTTTTGATAGGATTTGAGCATTTTCTATGTTTTAGGATGTTGTAATTTTATGGGTACGAAGGAGACAAGGGTGTTGTGCTTTTTTGAAAGAAAAAAAGAGTAAGCAATAGCCTTTGGGTCCATAAATATTTTTGACACACAAATACGTATCCTCTAGGCTCTGATTGGATCATGGCTTTTTAAATGTGGAAAATGAAAATGCAAAGGAAAAGGAAATCAAGGATCTTTGAAATTACAATTGTGTTTGGTTCCTAGGAAAAGTGGTGATAAAAATGACTTTGTGGAAAATTATTTTCCTTACTTTTGTTTGGTTTCTAGGAAAAAATGTGAAAATAACAATAAATTATTAAATGGAATAATATTATTTTCTATCAAAGACATAAAAATAAAAAAGAAATTGCTATGTTAAAAAAAACAAGAAAAAAAACTGTGAATATAAACATAATTTGATAATTTATTGTTATGATATGTGTAAGAGAGAAGAGGAAGATGAGAGAATAAAAGCAAACATAAGGAATATGAGAGGAAAAGAGGGAGAGAGAGGCGAGAGAAGAGATAGAGACAAAAGACAGAGAAGCGAGACTTACATAGCATTTTCTTAACTTTTTTTAGGGAAAAACATTTTCCTACTTTTTCGGCACGTTTTCTTGTTATGGTTTCCAACTTCTTTGCAACGACAACATCTCATTTTTCGAGATGTATGTTATAGTAGGTAACCAACAAGCCAACTTGTGGCTGTGGTCTTTCGTTTATTATGGTAATAAACAATCATTATTTGTATTAATGATAAAACACTTTTTGGCATTCTATACCTTTGTCCCTTGCATAAGCATAGATATAGTCCTTACAATTATTATAATTACTTATATTTAATCAAGTAGGATCATGAGATATTTAGTTTAGTAATATGACTGTTAAACCATATTCCTAGTTGTTAAGTGTATATTTTTACACTTAATCGTACCTTTTTATTTGGGCTTTTGATGTGTTTTAACGATAATTGGTGCTTAAAAAGTTGATTTATTGTATTTTAGGTACAAATTGAAGAATTGGAAAAGTATGGGGTCAAAACTGCAATTTTGGAGAAAATATGGGCCAAAAGTGAAAAAATCAAAATTCTGGAGAAACAAGGCTCGGACCCCCGTCCCAGTTTTAGTGCAAATTATGGGACCCCCGTCCGAGCGTCCGAAATTGAGCAGTAAAGGGATTTTAATCGCACAAGGAAACTGCCTTCTTCCCCAAGTTCTTCACCCTATATAAGACCAATCCAAGCACACAATTAGGGATCTTTTTACGCAATTTCAAGAGCAACAAAGCAATAACGAAGACGAAGAATTCGAAGACTCCAAGCATAGATTTATCGTCTATGATTTATTTTATTTGCGTTTTTGCTTTAATCATGAGTAGCTAAATTTCTTTATTTCTAGGATTTTATTTGGAACCCTATGTGGGATTTATGAACCCTTTTCTATGATTTTATGCAAGTTTTAATTCCGGATTATTTCTTCTACTTGTTTTATTAAGTGCATGAACTTGATCAACTTATGTGCTTTTATGTTATTGTTAATCGCATGAATCGGAAGATCGGGTTAATAATTAGAACTGTGGTAGAAGAGCCTTTGTGGTATTAACATAGGAATATAGTTAATCTCTTAGGTAGCCATTATTGAGATTTGTGCTTAATGCTGTGTTCTAGAATTAATTGCATAGGAATATAGTAATTGAATCTAGAGTATTAGAATCGTAATACACGCGGAAGCGGGTTATGATTAAATTAGCATCTCAGGTTAATAATCCGGGTTAATTGCTTGCATAATTGAAGGAATTGGGGGAATAATAATCACATAGGGGGAAGAATAAAATCCTAGGCTTGTTTACTCTGATCAAACCTTCGTTTTTTATTGCTTTCGTGTTCTTGTCTTTTTAATTTGCTTTTTAATTTAGTTTAATTTACTTAATTCTCTCGAAACTCGACTGTGTAGGGTGGGCTTGATAATAATTGGTAGAATTTAGCGTCTAGGATTAAGTAATTAAATATTCCCTGTGGGTTCGATATCCGGACTTAATTGTCCACTATATTACTTGTACGATACGTGCACTTGCGTGTAGGTTTTCGCCCAACACTAGTCAACGAGTTACGCCACCAATGAGGATATCAACCTTTCCCATACGAGACTAGAACTTAGTGTATGTCAACTGTGTCTCATCAGTAAACGGTATTGTGATATGGGCAAACATACGTGGGTGCTCATAAGTTGATGAGTTCACTCAACTCCCTCATTCTAGAAACCTTTAAGTGGTTCTCAATAATCGAGTAGAGATCTCTATGATATAGTTGTACACCATTAGTTCTTAGGACCCAGACATCACTGTGACTTCACTAGAGAACCAGGTGTATAGTAACATGTCCCTGATTTCCACCGAGGACCGCCCCAAGGGCCAGTGTTCGTGCAATCCAAAATCTAGTGGGAGGTCTATTGTCGGGGATTCGATCGCTAGAATAGTCTTGGATGTCCCGTGTGTTCTTATAGTTTGTAATCAATAAGTCTCTGGGCAAAGCTGAGTATGTGATGATTAGGGAATATGGTTCTCTAAGTCATACACTAACCAATTGCAACACTTAGAATGATCGCACAGTTATTGAACTATAGAGGAGGTCTCAATGAACCAACGCCTCGAGTTCAATCGGGACATATGTATCGAAGGGATCGTACTATACGTTAACTATATCACACGGTTCTTGCAGGCACTTCATTGTATCTGGGAAATCATGATGAGTGTTGCTAGGCGCCAATCTTGATTCGTTGGGTGATTAAGTTGAAACGAGCTTCATCTTAATTATAACTCTAGGGATGAGTTTTGTTAGAATTTATTTCGTGCAGATTAAATTATTTGTGTCAGATTCAGTTTTTCGTTACTGTTGCGTGAAGTGTTGCAACAGCTCGTGAAGCAGTTCGTAAAAAACAGAAATAAACGAGACACAAATTTTAATGTGGTTCGGATACAATTGTACCCTACATCCACGGGGACCTGCAAATAAAATTTACTAATTTTTAGTTTTACGAATACAATAATAGGACTTAATCAAAATACAAAGACTCCTTCTTTGTTGACGTCGTTCTTGTATACTACGCTGAATTATAAATCTTCAATTTGCAGCACGTCCCTTGCTCCGCACGGTTGAACTCCCTTCAACGCTGAATCCCTCCGTCGGCGGATCGATCTCCTCCCGAGATCTGTTTAAGCCCCTCTCCCGAAGAACCGATCTTCTTTTTATATAGAAGAAGCAAACTTGTGATACTCCTTGAATCTTGGTGTCTTCACCACAAAGCCTTGAAGCCGGTATATTTTCTTTGAAAATCACGTATCACGATGGAACAATAAAAACGAGAGCCAAGGATGTTTTCACTGTATATTTTCTCTCAATAAAATATGCACTGTAAGAGCAACAAAGAAATTGAAAATCTTTTTTTTTCTCAATAAAAACTCACGCACAGACGTCTAAGGTTCTAATTTATATAGTTG